CTGAGCAAGAGTGCGACCCCGTCTCTACTAGAAATAGAAAGAAATTAATTGGCCAACTAATATATATAGAAAAAATTAGCCGGGCATGGTGGTGCATGCCTGTAGTCCCAGCTACTCGGGAGGCTTAGGCAGGAGGATCGCTTGAGCCCAGGAGTTTGAGGTTGCTGTGAGCTAGGCTGACGCCATGACACTGTAGCCCGGGCAATAGAGTGAGTAAAGGTCAAGTAGTTAGTGAAGGGAGGAGATTATTAAAGCAACACACAGGGGTCATTGAAATCTGTTCTTGGGCGGTGACAGCTGCCCAGCCACAGACATGTGGGAGCCGAGGGGCTGCTCTGACTCAGGGGTGGAGGGCCCTGCTGAGACTCTGTCTTGGGAAGGGGGGCGGTTTACAGCGTTCGCTGAATTGTCCAACTCGGTGCTTGGCAGAAGGGCCAGGGGGGAGGCGGCGGGCTGTAAATGGTGTGATCCGGGCCCAATTTGCGCATCAGATAGATTCTCTTAAATTAACCACACAGATATGATGAAACGTGTTTAAGGTTACTTCCTTCCCACCAGTAGCAATGAACTTTCCCAGGGTGTCTTCTAGGCTCTGGTCCTCACCTGCAGGAGGGTCTGTGCCTGCCCTACTGGGCTTGTCATCCCTGGCTGCAGCTAGGCCCTGGTCCTCACCTGCAGGAGGGTTTGTGCCTGCCTTACTGGGCTTGTCATCCCCGGCTGCAGCTAGGCTCTGGTCCTCACCTGCAGGAGGGGTCTGTGCCTGCCCTACTGGGCTTGTCATCCCCGGCTGCGGCTAGGCTCTGGTCCTCACCTGCAGGAGGGTGGTCTGTGCCTGCCTTACTGAGCTTGTCATCCCCAGCTGCAGCTAGGCTCTGGTCCTCACCTGCAGGAGGGGTTTGTGCCTGCCCTACTGGGCTTGTTATCCCCGGCTGTGGCTAGGCCCTGGTCCTCACCTGCAGGAAGGGTTTGTGCCTGCCCTACTGGGCTTGTCATCCCCAGCTGTGGCTAGGCTCTGGTCCTCACCTGCAGGAGGGTGGTTTGTGCCTGCCCTACTGGGCTTGTCATCCCCGGCTGTGGCTAGGCTCTGGTCCTCACCTGCAGGAGGGGGGTTTGTGCCTGCCCTACTGGGCTTGTCATCCCCGGCTGTGGCTAGGCTCTGGTCCTCACCTGAAGGAGGGTCTGTGCCTGCCCTACTGGGCTTGTTATCCCCGGCTGCAGCTAGGCTCTGGTCCTCACCTGCAGGAGGGTTTGTGCCTGCCCTACTGGGCTTGTCATCCCCAGCTGTGGCTAGGCTCTGGTCCTCACCTGCAGGAAGGGTTTGTGCCTGCCCTACTGGGCTTGTCATCCCCAGCTGTGGCTAGGCTCTGGTCCTCACCTGCAGGAGGGTTTGTGCCTGCCCTACTGGGCTTGTCATCCCCTGCTGTGGCTAGGCTCTGGTCCTCACCTGAAGGAGGGTCTGTGCCTGCCCTACTGGGCTTGTCATCCCCGGCTGTGGCTAGGCTCTGGTCCTCACCTGAAGGAGGGTCTGTGCCTGCCCTACTGGGCTTGTCATCCCCGGCTGCAGCTAGGCTCTGGTCCTCACCTGCAGGAGGGTGGTTTGTGCCTGCCCTACTGGGCTTGTCACCCCCGGTTGCTGCAGAGCGGCTGTGCTCTGCCTGTCACATCTCACGCTGGCCCGGCCAGGCCCCCGCGGTGGTATGAGTTTCTCCACCAGCAGTGAAACAAACCACTCGGACACGCGTCTCTCTGTGCACACGGCTTCTCCACTCTGGGGGCGGTTACTGGAGAATATTCCCGGAGCACGACGACAGGCCTAAGAGCATCTCCCCAGGACTGGTGCTCCGCAGATGCTAGCTGCATAGCCAAGGCCACAATTAACACTCATCACCACTAATTACTGCCAAGTAGAATTCCTCGTGTTCTGTGAAAGCTGCTGGCACCAAAATAGATCACTGTGTCAACCCCAGCAGAGGGTGCCAGGAGGCCATCGGGGGGGGATGGGGGGGTTGCTCACACACGTCTGTAGCAGGCATTATCGCCAGACACACCTGCACCCGCGCACGCTTGCAGCAGGCCCTGTCAGGACTGCAGGATCCCAGCAAGGACCCCTGCCCCGAAACGGCTGTCTCCTGCACCAAGCTCTTGCAGCCAGTGATCTTTGTCATAAAACAGTAACTTCTTCTGTCTTTAAAGGTCTCTCTTCTGCCCCCGAATCCCCTCAGAGATACCTGGGACCGTGCAGAGCTGCAGTTCCCTGCTCTTCCAGGTGAACCCTTCTCTCCGTCTCTCTGGTTTTCTGGTTGACAGTTCAAAACACCTGACAAATGTACCGGATTAACCCTAAAAGCAACTGTTGAATAGCAGAAGGCCACAGTGACATCCCTGTCTCGCTCCTGGCCATGGAATTGCTTTGCTTACTTTCCAAGCATCTGAGAGCTCCTAGTTGTCTTTGTTATTGATCCCAGCTCTCTCCCGCTGTGAGCATCACCTGTGTGCTGTCAGCCCTTTGAGACGTGGGAAGGCTTTTTCCCAGCTTTGCAGCAGAGGGTCAAATTTTAGGGTTTATTTTGTGGGTAGGTCTTATTTTCAGGGAAACACGGTAGTAAGTGCAGTTGTCCTGGAAACGGTGTCTGGTGACTTCAATGCCCCTGTCTCTGGGTCTGTCTCTGCCGGCTCTGTCGTGGCGTCCCTGTGTGATTGATTCACCTTGCGAGATGTTCCACGTCACTGAGGCCTGGGAGAGCTGGAGGCCTTTGGAGGAAGGGCTGTTGCTTTTCTCAGCAATGTGGGATGTCCCCAACCCAGGGCCACTTTAACCCAGTTTCATTTTTTGGCTGCATCATTGGCAGTGTGAGTGTGGCTGCAGGAACCTCTGCCCTTCTTGTCCCTGCCCTGCGTGACTTGGCAGTTGTCTGGGGGTGAGGGCTCACCTCCGCCTCCGTCCCCACCTGCCTTCTCACCAGCAGGGACCCTCGACTCCCCGGAACCTCGAGAGCTCCCAGGAGGAAGTGTAAAAAAGCATTTACACTTAAAAAATGGGATGAGGTGGGATTCCCTCCTTCTTAAAAACGTTTCTAGAGCTACTAAAAAGCTTGCATTTACGGGGGAGGGGGGAAATGGGCATTTATTAAAACCTTAAAATCTGTACCCCCATAATATGCCGAAAAAAAAAAAAGCTTGCATTTACAAAATAGTTGATAAAAATATTCCTCTGCATTGTACAAGAGGGGAGACGGGGCCCCGATAAGACCTGGCGTATGACATTAATCAGACTTGGCTTCTTTCTCTCCTGCTTCACCAGATGCCGGACTCTCCTCAGTTTTAGTTTCTCCATTTTCTGCAGGTAAATCTTCTTTAGTTTCTTGGTTAGCCACTTCGGCCTGTTTTTCCTTTGCTCCTTTTTCCCCTTTTGGTTGCACTTTTTTGTCTGAAGATTTATTCTTTGCTGCCGCCTTTCTGGGCTTCGTTTCCACTCTCGCAGGAGCAGGTTTAGCTGACAGTTGCACAGATCTCCCCTTGGGCTCTTCCTTCTTCACTGCGCCTTCGCCAGCCCAGCGGAGCTGACCTTCCTCTTGGGCATCTGAGCGGCAGGGAGGGTGCGTGCCGGGTGCCTGCAATCCGGGCCGAGGTGAGCCCAGAGCCTTCCCGAAACTGGGCTGTCTGGCAGCTGCCATTGCTCTGGCCACTGGAGCTGCTAAGACCCCTGGTGAGGGCGGTGGGAGAACCGGATAGAACTGGATTGGGAGCCCGCCTCTTACTCCTCCCCCCCACAGATTTCTGACCACCACCTCCAAACAGACCACTGCTGACAGTTCAGCTCTTCACTGTATTTGAGGCAGTTTCCAGGGTTTGTTGTCCTCAGGGGCAGGGCTGGCCCTACTAGCCCAGCCACCGAACCTGGCAGCAGGCAGCTACACGAAACAGGATGTGGGCGACACTTTCATTTTTCCTGGAAATCAGCATTCGTGTGCGCCTCTGCCCTCCAAAAGTTGAATAGACCTGAAGCAATTTGAGAACGACACTCTTCTGCAGGATAAGAATGAAGTCGGCACTTGGTGTTGATGCTCACTGCTGTTTCGGGAGGGCAGGGCGGGAGGGCAGAGGACAGACAGACCCAGGCTGGGACTAGGGTCACAGTTGAGGACACAGGGACAGAACTGTGAGTCTGCGGCCACACCACCCTGAACACGCCCGGTCCCGTCTGATGATCTTGGCAGCTAAGCAGGGTCAGGCCAGTTAGTACTTGGATGGTAGAAACAGAATTATGAATGTTAAGGACATAACTGATATGTGTTATAAACCAAATACTCTAATCATACACCTACATGCTGCTATTCTAGGGTCAGGGCATCAGCTGGTCACATTTCAAGGTGTTTCTAACAAGCACAATATTAAAGTTCATATTGGGCCGAAACATTGATTAAGGCTGGAGTTGATCATACAGGTATTATCTGGATAATCAAAGCCCAAAATAGGCTTTGGTATTTATTTTCTGTGGAGTATAAGTAGAAGCTATATAATAGCAAAATCCAAGCATAGCCGACGAGCGACTCTTCTGCTGCAGTGGGTGTTTCCTCAGGGTCTCCTGAGCAGCTAGCGTTGCGTTGTGACAGCACTCTCAGGTGGAGCCCTG